CATGTGTCCTTCAAGGACCGATCATCTGCCCTTCAAGGACCATGCAAGGATATACATGCATGCCTTCTCTTCAAGGGCACCACGAGGCATCTCTCAGACAACCTTTAAGCCCAAATCCTTAATCGGATTAAGAACTTAAACCATGGTAAGTCATCAGGATGGATTAACAAGGAAACTAATGTGATAATAATAATAAAAACTTTTTTTAGATGCTATTCAGAGGGCGTTGCGAGGCGAAAAAATTTCCTTCAAGGTTTCCTGAAATGTTCACAAAGAGCATAGGAATTATGCAGCTTAATTATATATATACCCGTTTGAACGTGAATTATGATAAAAGAAACATTCAGCTTGAAATGGGGTCATTTAGGGCTCATATTTAATGCAAAGCATGTCTTTCCGTTATAAAATTTCAACGACGAAGAATCGCCATGTCCTTCCTGTAATGTCCCCATGACATATTGGTCTTGACTGTGTTTCTCTGTCTAAAAGTGTTCCATTACAGAAATGAGATCGCGTGGATCCAGGTGCAAGATGTAAGCTTTATTGCAAATGAGAACAGCTTCAGAGGGAACAGGATTTTTAAAAATTCATTGATGATTGCAGGGATACGGAAGCAGCACAGCAGCAAACCAGCGAAAGCAGACGATGCAAATTCAGCATATTCAGCAAATTAAGCAAATTCGGCGTATTCAGAAAATTCGGCAGATTCAGCAAGATCAGCAGATTCAGTCGACAGCGAAAAAACTACTTCCCACTGAGCTGCTGACGGAGCGCAGGAACGGACTCGTCCCACCTGGCCCGAAAGAAGTTGCCGGCGATCGGATCGCCCAGCCGAAACTGCCTCGCAAAGCGGGTCACCTCGAAATTCTGCCTCCCGTCCCTCGTCTTGTTGTCGATGTGCTTCACCCAACCCGGCTCGATCGTCCCCAGCTGCTTGAAGACCAAGAAGACGTACCGATGCGCCTCCGAGTTCTGAGGCGGCCCGCTCCCGATGTACTCCACGACCGTGTCCCCGGAAGTCACGTTGTTCCCGGGGATGTTGATCACCATCCAGTGGAGCAGCTCGCGGAACTTCGGGTCCCTGGGCGTCGGGGCGTCGGGGTCGGCCATCACGAGGGTGTAAAGGCTGGACGGATCGGCCTTGAAGGTCACCTGGAATCGGGACAAACGCGTTTAACGGCGGAAGACGATGACCAGAGCCAAAACAAAGGAAATGTGGAGACCTCGGGAACATTCCTGACGTCGCTCGGCGTGAGGACCTCCCCCATGCGGACTTCCTTCTTGGAATCGGCATATTTGACCTCGACAACGTTGGGTGGGACGGTGGTGATCATGTCGGGGACGATATTGGCTTCCTTCATCTTACTCGCGTCCATGGCAGGCGAGGTCGAGCCGACGAGGTGGAACAGCGAGATGCTCAAGGCGATCGCCGCAAGCTGTAGGAAGATCGGCCGATTCAAGATAAGTCTGCACTCGATGGACTATTCCATTGAAGTTTTTTTGTCTCTTTTCTGAGTATAGAAATCGACAGCACTTAATATTGAACGGGTCGTTCCCTTCGGATTTCATACCACCTATGCTTTCAAGACGTCTTGAAGGATCGGCACGAGAAATTCCACATTCCACAGCTTGTCTCTTCGATCTGTGGGCCATGTCCGCGCTCCCAACTTCTCGTTGTCATACGACGCCATCATGGCGTCGTCTAAAGAGGTTTCATTACGCGACAACTACTAAATTTCAAGTGAAACGGAGCAATTAAATATATTTTTTACAAATGTGAAGGAAGAAATTGGTCTGCGAATTTGGGCCCAAAAATCAAGCTAAAATCCTGGAGTTGACAAGATTCCTTGACGACAAGATAGCTTATTTTAAGCCGGGATCAAGATCCCGACTATCCCCCTTTATTTCATGTCCAGCAAAGATGTTGTTTGATTTATAGCCAGAAAAACAAGGAACTTTGCCATCATTGTTTTTTGACAGGTCCACCTAAGACCCCGAAAAAAGAACCTAATTCTCCTTCCGCCAAGTGAGCTGAAAGAGCAAGAAGCAAAAGTAGCAGAATGCATTCCGACATGAGCTGAGCACTACTTGCCTGCCACATACTGAATTAGCTTCTCTGGCGCATGACGTCATCATGACGCAAAAGTCCTGACAATCGGAGCGTGTTCTTCTGGGGATTTACGAGGCTCGTGGCGGTTTCGGGTTGCTTTCAACCTCTTTACACCAGCAACTCCCCGCAAAGTTACGGACTCGGTTAATCGGAAATTTGAGCCATCATAATATGTCGACGAGTTTCGGAGTTGTAGAGATGAGTCATTCGGAAATCGTGTCGGTTCCAAAAGAAAAGTAGTCTGACGGTGTCCATAACATGAGATTAAGACACCATGGAGG